CCTTTTAAGTCATTATCCCTTTACAGAATGGCCAGTAATTCTAAAACCGATTATTTCATATTTTATGTCTTATTTATTTGTGTAAGGGTAACTCTATCTAAAAGAAATCTGAAATGTGGTACACATTACATCACGATATAACGTTTAAGATGCTTTCCAAATACAAACATGGAATTTGATTGGGGGGAGAGGGATTCAGATTTACCGAGTATGTTGTGCTTTGTTTTAACATTTTATTTACATTTTCTGGTTATTATTATAATATAAAAAATAAAAAAAAATCTTCCGGAAAGAAGGAAGCCCTTGTCTTCTGGAATATGATGAGCTAATTCAAAACATGTATTTTTTGTTTTATTTAGGGATAAAGACTTAAAAGGGTAATATATTTTTCGATTTGTACACATTTGGTCATTGAATTTTTTTTTTCGTCCACATTTACCCCTTCAACTTGTTAAACTGTATACATTCAGTCCTTATGACCGGCTATTCCAGGTTACCCGGTAAAAGTGACTTAATAGGGTAATATATTTCTCACTTTGTACACATTTAGTCCTTAATATTTTTATACACATTTAGTCCTTTTTTTTTTTTGCAAAATAAGTCATTTTTTTGTACTCATTCAGTACTTATGAATGATTTTTTAGTTTTTTCTCACGAAATCTTACGTGGGACATTCATTAATGAGGTGTATGGGGCTTTTGATGCTTATATCCATCCGATCTTGACTATTTGGTTGCTTAGGTCATGTGTTCTGAACGTCATAACTTCTTCATATGATCTCAGATTTTAACGATCTTTATATCCATGCGTTCGTATTTTAGTCTACTACAACTTTCATTTATATTACTCCCATTAAAAAATAATATATTTTTTTACTTACGATTTTTATATCCATACGCGGTGGCGGATTTAGTATGGTCCCGGTGTTGCACCGACAACACCTGTTTTTTCTGTTTGCAGTGGAAAAATTTTCGCTTTTTTTTCGTTTATACCTATTTTCCATGTATCGGCAACACCTATTTCATCTCGGCAACACCTACTATGTATTACTGCGTCTTCCCATGTCCATACGTTTTTTATGAATGCATGTATGTATGTTTTTTTTTATAAAATCGTTAGTAAAAATATATTATATTTTAACGGGAGTAATCTTAATGAAAGTTGTAGTAGACTCAAAAAATGAGCACGTGGATAAAGATCCTTAAAATCTGATATCGTATGAAGAAGTTACGATGTTCAAAATACAAGACCTAAGCCAAACCACAAGACTTACGCAACCAAGCAGTCGAGATCGCATTGGACATAAGCATCAACAACCCCAAGCACCTCATCAATGATTGTCTCACGTAAGATGTCGTGAAAAAAACCTAAAGAAATCATTCATAAGTACTGAATGAGTACAAAAAAAGGACTTATTTTGAAACAAAAAAAATGTTAAGGACTAAATATCTACAAAAATATTAAGGAGTAAATGTGTACAAAATGAAAAATATATTACCCTATCAAGTCATTTTTCCCGGCTAACCTGGAGTAACAGGTCATAAGGATTGAATGTGTACAGTTTAACAAGTTTAAGGGGTAAATGTGGACGAAAAAAAACTCAGTGACCAAATGTGTACAAATCGAATAATATGTTACCCTTTTAAGTCATTATCCCTTTTATTTACGTACGTAGTAAATAAAACATTTTTGTTTTATTTACGTAGTGTGCCTTATTAGTTAGGTTATGCATTATAATGTGTTTTATTAAGTATTAGTTTGGTATGATAGTATGTCCAAAATGCTAAGTGTTAGTATGGAACATGATGAATTTATCCAAAACGCTAAGCGTTAGTCTGGAACATGATGAACTTATATTAACTTGGTTTACTAATCCAATACTTTAGCACAAATGTGTGTTTCTTCATACCTAACATTGGTCTGAAAATTATTTGTGAAGCTATATTCGGAAACACCGTTCGCACTAGTATTTGAAAATAGCTTATAAAATCTAAATTTTAAGTTCAAAACATTTTTAGTTGCGGAAAAATGCTCCAAAGTAATAAATAATAAGATTTTAAAATATGTGAGGTTTAAGCAATACATACAACGAAAAGTATCTTTAAAGTGCAAGCTCTAAGACTTTAATCTTCGTATCTTACTTAAATCTAGATACATGTAAAAACAGTAAGTTAGGTTTGGAAAGTTTGGTAAGTTAACCCTAGAGTCAACTCTTCGAGGAAAAAGGATATAGGTCAAGAATCCAAGTTCCAAACACATTTCAAAACTAACATTTCCCATTTTAGGGTAGAATCATTTCCAAGGGAAATCAAGATTTCAATATGTTCATAAAAATTACCAAGCGTAAGAAGAAGTAACTTAATATAATATCAACACAAAATGCAATGGCAAGTCAATAATTCAAATATGTTATGCATATATTTTTAAAACCCCCAACTCGAGTCATCTCTAGTCCACAACCTCACCAAAAACACCTTAAGTGCAACCACCACAAGTCACTGCAATTCACCACAACATCATAATAGGACACCTCAAGCATCCTTTGCATACAAATTTTTGAGTTTATTATTATAATTTTGTTATGGCTTTGATAATTCTACAGATTGTAATATCTTATTCTAAAATTAAATGATTGTTTATATATATATATATATATATATATATATATTATATATATATATATATATATTATTTTTTAATATAATATTTTCAAATCAGATCAATTTATTATCTTTCCACTTAAATGACCCAATCATGTATTTTTATTCATATAAGAGTGTATTATCGTAGTAAAAAGGATTATTTGTTATAATTGCAACATCCCATTTAAATAAAATAAAATTAATTAATTAATAAATCAATAAATAATAAACCCTAAAACCCTGATAGCAAGAACAATGAGTAAACTCACCTCAATCAGAAGATAGCAAATCTCACACCTAAGTTTGTTGCCCAACGACTCCTCACGTTGAACACAATCAATACCAATCCTAGTTACTTTCTAAGGTTAAGCCCATAATCATGAGGCCCAATGATGGCCCAAGTCCAAACTAGGCCCACTAATGGCCCAACCCATCTAGATAATCCTAAGGCCCAAATGCTCCAAAATGGCCTCATGTCAACGGTCCAAGTCAACCGACCCTCACGTCATGACCAGCTCGTGGTCACGCCGTAAGCATCAACTTGACCCTGGGCCCAACTCAGCCAATCAACTCGCCTACTCTTGATTCCAACCATCTCACGTCGTGACCACTTCATGAGTCACGTCGTGACCTAATCCGGGCAAAACAGTCGGGATGGCAACCCTTCTCACAACGTGACAGGCTTATTCCTCACGTCATGAACGCTCCATTGGCCAGCAGTATTAAGCTCTTATTCCTTTCAGTCATTACTTGGGACTTTCCAGAAGGTCTTCCCTCACCCAAAGGATGATAAAAATCGTAGCTTTTTATTCATGCATGTCCAATGCATGGCTCAAACATTCATTAGGTCAAAAGAGTGGAAATGGGATCAAGACTCATGCTTGGAGTCTAAAACTACTCCAAAACTCGAATCTAAAGATTATATTATAGAGAATGACTCAATGATCCATAAAGTTGCCAACTTTATGGATCTCATGCATGCAGTCCTTCACAACCAATCAACCATGCAAAAAGGAGCATAAAACTTAGATCTAGCATGCAAGAGGTAAAAGGCCAGAGCTTTATGACTTACAATGGTCCAAAAGCTCTGCAAGAAGGTGATGTAGAAGTTGGATTGCCAAGAGGTTGATCGACCAAGGTCTTCTTCCACTTCAATGAGTCTAAAAACCACCAAAGAATGCTTCAATGTCACAAAAATGGCTAAGGGCTTCAAGTAGGTCGAGATTAGGGTTTTCAGGAGGCAAGAGAGCGAGGGAGGCTAAGGATGGGTAACCCTAGCCCTCTCATTCCATTAAATACCCAAATTATTAGGGTTTGGCCATCAGACCATTCTCATGTCGTGAGCACCCAAAGGCTCACGTCGTGAGACTAAAAAAACTCGGGTCAAAAAGTCAATGACACTCACGACGTGACAACCATGTCTCACATTGTGACCCTCGTCCCAAAAGCTAGAAAATCAATAAATAAGTACCTCCAAGACCCAGGTGTTACACCATATGTTGTGGGTTCGAAACCCCTTCTGCGTCCTTCATTACCTATACTTTTTCATATAATGGTTTTGTAATGAAATTGAGTTTGAGGAGGAAAGGAAAAAAAAACTCTAGCAGGCTCGAACTCACGACCTCCGTAAGGAGAGGATTCTTAGCACTACATTAAGGAGGAGTATGGTACCAACCCGAGAATATCGAATACCAAAATGGATGAAAAAGTGATACCAACTTACCGAGCATCGAACCAAACTAACATTATTGGTATCGGTATGGTACCGATTTTCAGTACTAGCACCGATACTACGGTACCAAATCCCGAGTTTCATGATTTTAGAGTACTAATTACCGGTATATATTAACATCAACATTGTGGTGTCGGTATTAGTTTGGGTCAAAATTTTCGATAGTCTTACTCACTAACTCACCATACACTAGACCACCTTGATGATGTTCCTTCATATCATTTGTTACCTTAGTCACTAAAGGTGGTACTACAAACTTATAAAAATTACCAAAATATCTTTATATTTGAGTTAATATCGAGTCCACATAAGCACATCAGGACTTGTTGGTTATTTTTAAGTCCGCATAACACCACTACTACATACTTGTTGGTTATTTGTGAAAAAAATGAGTTCATATGGTTATTTTTTGAAAAGTTAGTTAGATCAAAATTAACAATAAATAATGTGTTTTTGGAGATTATTGTGTTAATTTTATCTTTTTCTATTTTGACTCGGAAAAAATCAAAATCAAATCGTCACCCCTAAGTACAACACCGCCGGCATTAGGGTTCCGAACGTTGAAAAGCTCTAGAACAGAGAACTTCCATCTGTATCCTCCTCTTCAGTCTCACACTATTCAGGAAATGGCAATGGCAGCATACCTCTCTAGGATCGCTAGGCTCTCTGCCTCCCATCAAAACCCAGTACGAACCTTCTCCTCATCCATCACCCCTTTTTCATCATTTCGCGCTTTGAAATCTGCTATCAAAACAGAAGAAGACCCACTTAAGATCGCCAAACTCTTCGAATTATCGATTTCGATACCCACATTTAGACGCTTTCGGCCTCTCTTCACCCTATCCGTTCACAAGCTCTCTCGATCCAAACGCTTCGACCTTATCGACCGCATACTCACCAACTCCATCACCAGTTCCCCTCCTCCTCAGCTTGCTTCCGAAGGCTACTGGCTCCGGATTGCGATGTTATACTCCCAAGTAGGAATGGTTGACAATGCACTCCAACTGTTCGACAAAATGCTTCAACAACAGAACTGCACCCTCACTGAAAAATCACTTTGTGGGATTCTGTCTGTGATGATAGATAACAAAATTTACGATGATCAGTTGCTTCAGACGTTCGAGGCTTTTGTAACCAAAACAGGTATTTCCCCTGGTGTAAAATCCTATAATTTGATTTTAAAAGCCCATTGTAAAGGAGGTCATGTGGATGAGGCTCAGGCATTGATTGAGAAGATGGAAACCGAAAACAATGTGCATCCAAACATTGATTCCTACAATATATTGCTGGGAGGTTACTTGGATAGCAAGAAAAAGAGTGCGTTTGATATGGTGGTGAAGCAGGTCAATGAGAAAGGTTTGGAACATAATTTGACCACTTACAATCACAGAATCTTGAGGTATTGCAAGAACAAAGAGTGTGTTAGGGCTAAGAAGCTGTTGGATGAAATGATATCAAAAGGAGTTGAACCTAATTCTTGTAGCTATAATACTATTATCTTTGGGTTTTGTAAGGTAGGAGATTTGGAATCTGCTAAAAAGCTTCTTGAAAAAATGGTTAGTGATGGATATGTAAAGGCACCATCGTTTGGTTATTACACATTAATGAAGCATATGGTTGAAGAGGGAGAATTTGATGGGGGATTGGAAATATGCAAAGATATCATACAGAAGAAATGGGTTCCTCCATTTGAAGCCACTGGGCTTTTGGTCAATGGATTAGTCAAGAATTCAAAAGCTGATGAGGCAAAGGAAATTGTGATGAAGTTCAAGAATAAGCTCAATGGGCCTGCTTTACAATCATGGGGAAAGATTGAAGCTACCCTTCCTATATAAACAAACTCATGTTGTTTTCAGGAAGAAAGACAAATTTCATAGTTTATTATGGGAAACTAAAGGGTATGCAATTAGTTCTTGGTTGATTATAAAGGTTTACACCTTTTTCAAATATTGATTTTGCTTTTATGCTAGTGTTATCATAAAATTGTAGCATGTTAGTTTTTGGCACTGTAGGAGCTCACAAGCCATGTAAAACAAAAAAAGATTAGTAGCTTATGAGATGTTTTTGTGCTAATAACTAGATATGATGTGAAATTTTCAGAATTTATGCATTAATAATTAATTTGCTTCTTTGATCATGCATGGGATAAGTGACCATATAATGATCAAATGATTAAGTATCATATCATATATACAATGATGTACACTTAAATTGCAGTTGTGAATTGTGATGGGGCATGTCAGCATGTGGATGTGATATGTTCAATTGCCCATATGGATGCCACATAGGACAGTTAACCGTTCATGGAATACTATGTAACAACGGTGAAGTTAAGTGATAAAATAAATTATAGTTTGAGGATACGTTTACAATTAGAACTTGTATGACATGACCTAGAGAGCAAATTGCTCATGGTTTATTGCCTAAAATAACATAAACTCTTTCAGAAGTATGTTGTTAACAGTTTTAATATTTTTGTCATGTATATATGCAATATATTTTCTATTATTTTTCTTGAAAATACGAAGGTAAAAGTTATAAGTTATAAGAAATGACGGGGGTGGTGCATGAATATTGAAAAGATAAATGGAGGCGTGAAAGCAAGCATTGCAATTTGCAATGTTTTATGTTTGACGTTGACCCATAAAGACAAAGAACTAGTGTCAAAGCAAAAAATACAAAAAAGAGCATAAAACGTGTCAAATCAAACAAAAGATACGGGACCGTATAACAAGTGGTTCGTACAAGTATACAACTACAAAACAAAAATCATGATTATACCCTAAAACTCGCTAGGCGTTTGGAACACTGCCCTCTAGCTTTCGCTAGGGGGTGGTTATGAAAGGCTCACTACGGGCTTGGTGAGATGAGAAGGAGAGAATTGCTTGAAACTGATTGGTTGCAAGAACTTTGATCGGATCCATCATTTTCCAAACAAAATTTCATATTTTTTTATTAAAAAAAATCTTTTTTTTACTCAATTTCAAAATTTCAAATTTCAATCCAATTCTTATAAATTGACACTACCCTCTCAACATTTTACACACACAAACTATCATTCTTTCTCTCACAAATTGGGTCTTTCATTTATAAAAAAAATGTCGTCTTCATCATCTTCGTCATCTTCATCGGACGATGTTTTTGATAGCATAATATAGTCGGTCATCTCCATACGTAATAGGCTAGAACAACATCTTAACAACCATGGATCGAACAATGCGCAACGTAAACAAAGAAGATATATCCACAGACAACGTGCAGAAGCCCACCAACGTCTCATGCATGATTATTTTGACGAGCATGCGCTCTTTCAAGGATATATTTTCCGCCGACGGTTTCGGATGCATAAATATTTGTTTATGCATATTGTCGAAGGTGTGAGTTCAGTGTCTAGTGTCTGAGTATATGCGGCAACGCCCGGACGCAAGAGGTTCGTTGAACTTTGATCCAATTCAAAAATGTACTGTTGTATTTCGTATGTTAGCATATGGCACACCCCCTGATGCACTAGACGGGAGTTTTAGGATGTATGCACGTACCGCACGAGAAAGTCTTCACGAATTTTGCAAATCTATAATGTCTTTGTATGGCCCACAATATTTCTGTCATCCTACTTCTATCTAGTGACATACACAAGTTGTATGTTCATCATGCGAATGTGCATGGTTTACTTGAGATGTTAGGAAGTTTAGATTGCATGCATTAGATATAGAATTTGTGTCCTAACGCATATCACAGACAATACACAAACGACAATTATCATTATCCTACGGTCGTTCTTGAATTTGTAGCCTTACTAGATTTGTGGTTCTGACATGCCTTTTTCGGTAGTGTCGGTTCGCTTAGGGCCCGTTTGGTGAGGAGAACACGATGGAACATAACAAAACTACAACTTTTGAGAGGGTGTTTGGCATACCTAGAACTGGAACAAAGTAAAAGTTTGACCAAGTCCAATGAGACGATTCACTGAAAAAATAGTCTCACCCAGAAAGGTGGAACTCAACAGAACACGTATTCCTCTTTTCTCAATCTGACGAAAATAACCCTGGAACGGGTCTCACCTTGCGTCACCGACTTTCTCGTTATCTACCATTGTTATGAAATTATCCTCTTTTTCAATATCATCGTCTTCCTATATCAATTGCACACAGAAATTGATTTTTTTCATATTACTGATTACCGATTTTAGTAGCATACGAATTTTGAAGCCATCAACGATCTCATCTCTGTCTTCCAGGATTTCTCATCAGCGCAGTCGACTTCATCATCCCAGGTACTTTTTTTTTTTTAACTTCAGCTCTTTACTTACCTGATTGATTTCGTTTTTCCGTCTATATTTCTTGATTTCTTGATAATCACCTTCATCTTGATCTGCTCTTTAGTTATCAGTTGATTTCTTGATAATCAATTAACTGAGTTCTCAATTAATATACATACGACTTCCTGCTTAAGATGTATAGTTTCTTGATTTTTTGATTTCTTGACAAATGATTATACCATTTTTTCTTTTCTCATTCCCTTATAATTAAATATGAGGAGTTTTGATTTAAAAAAAAATATATTTTCCTCTGTTGTTACTCGTGTTATCAATCCTAGTAATTTCCTTGTAACTGGAATGGTATAATCTGTACCAATGATCACAAGGTAACAACTATAAACCTTACATCCTCATTCCTACTTTATTTTTCTGTCAATATTTAGAAGTTGAAGACCTTTATAGATAGTCAGACTTCATTTAAAGACAATACTTCTAATCCCTGAAGATATTGGGAATTTTACCTCATTAGAAGACAAGATTGTCATATTCAGACTTGATTAACTCATGCAGAGGATTAATTTCAAATCTCCTGCCAATTCATATTTTAGATACTAAATTTTGGACGAAAATGCCCCTGAATCTTTGTAGCTACCACTAAATTGTTAGTACCTGTTAGTTGACTATATCAATGGAGGGATGATTCGGCCCAAGAAATGTTTGATTCTTGGATGTCAACCAGATCCTAGTAGATTGTTTTTTAATGTTAGAACTTTTATTTTTAAGTTTGTTATTTGTAATTATTATGGACGTCAACAACTTTGAATTTTGTGTATGTTTTTTTATTAATTTTAACTAAGTGGACGAATTATATTAATATTTTTCATTTTTTTTTCTATTTACATTTGTTATGTATAATATGTCAAAAGCATGTAACAAATCATGGCAGATAAGCGTCAATGGACTCAAGAAGAAGAGGATGCGTTGATTACCATCCTTCAAGACATTGTTGTCATCGGCGGTAGAGATGATAATGGAAGCTTTTGGCCAGGAACCTATGATCAAGTCGTTATCAAGTTGCGGGAAAAGTCGTGGGTATTAATATAACAACAAAGCATGTCCAAAACAAAATCAAACGTTTAAAGGATAAATTTCCTGGTGCATATGATATGCAAAATACAAGTGGGTTTGGTTGGGATGATGCTCGCAAATGTGTAGTAGTTGATTCTCTTGAGATATTAGAGGAATATCTAAAGGTTAGTGATTATATATATATATATATATATATATATATATATATATATATATATATATATATATATATATATATATATGGTTTTAGTTGTAACTTTGTTTGTTTTACTAGAAAAATCCAAACAAAAACAATGTCGCGAATAAACCATTCCCTGCATACGAATGACTAGTAAATGTTTTTGGTAAAGATCGAGCTATAAGTGGTATGGCTGAATCGGCAGCTGATGTGATAGAAAATCAAAATATTTATAACGAAGAAGGAGAAAGGTTTCCGTCGTCTAACTCTAATCCTCAAAACACCGCAACTTCCTTCAATCCAAATCCCAAAGACTCGGCGCGAAATTAAAAAAAAAAGCGGCATGTGAAGAAGTAACACATGTAATTCAAATAGGGTTAGCTACTGTATCCGAGGAAATCCAGAAAATGACTAGGGCTATTACGTCCTCTACTAATGACCTCATAGAGTTAAAAATCATACGTGAAGAGTTGAAGACCATGGAGTTGTCTTCTTCAGAAATCATGCGAGTTTGTTTGAAGTTTACAAAAAACCTGAATTTGTCACCGATGTGGAATAGTTTGGACGCAGCTACCAAACTATTTTTTGCGAAGATTATATTGGAAGATGATAATTGAAGTTTGTTATTTTTTTATTTAAAATTAAGGATTTTGGAAAACATTTTGGTTTAGAACTTTGTTAATTTTGAAACAATTTTGATTATTTGTTATTAGAACTTGTTTTAATGTGAGAATTTTAAATATTTTTTAATAAAAATGTATATTTTGAAGTTATGTATGTTAAATAGAGCTATTATGAATAATTTTTTGCAAAAAGGTAGTATGGTCATTTTTACATCTTGTTTTGTCCAGTTCTATTGTTACCAAACAGTTTCAGACAACTTGTTCTATTATGTTCAGTCTTACCAAACGCTATACAAATTATTTGTTTTGTCCAGTCATGTCCAGTTCTGTTCCACCTGGTTCTTCTGCAAAACAGTACCTTAATGATGTTAATATTCTCAATAATTCACCAATATTCAACAAGGTGTATAATGGTTATGCCCCAGATTCGTCATTTGTACTCCGAGGAATGAAATACAAATTTGAGTACTATCTTGTTGTAACATTCCAAAAATCATGATAAAAATTTTCATTTTCAAAACAATTTAATAACCTAAAAGTCGTGCAAAACATTGTTTCCAAATCACCATATTCATAAATCAGAGTATCCCAAAATCATTTATCAATAAAATATCCAAGGATGATGTGCACAATCACGCATTCGCATTGCCCCGGTCATATGATGTACCTGAAACCATGAAATCAAAC